CGTCCACCAACCATCCACTACTCCATCCATCTGGACCATCCAGGGTTGCACGGCACTCATCAGTGAATAGGACTGTTTGAAAATTAGTCTTCATCTATTTTTCTGCCCAATGCAGCAGTTTCTGCTTGTGAGCATTGGTTAGTGGTGGCCGAATAGAAGGTTTATGCACAGTTGCAAGACTCTGGAGGACTCTACACCTTGATGTCTGTGGGACTCCAGAGGCACCAGCAGCTTCAAATATCTGTTTGCTGCTATGTAATGTTATTTTAGCAGCTGCTCTCTTGATCCGATGCAATCTTCCTCAATGTGCCTTTATCTGCACAAACCCGTCTGCGCTCTGAAGCAGCCACGAATCTCTTAATAATGTGATAGTGAGGAATTTTCTCTGTCAGGAATTTTCCCTTGCCATGGTCTTTTGTATCAATTTGCAACTCTCTGTATTTCTCCTTGTCCCCAAACCAGCTGGTGAGGAGCCCCCAATGAACAAGACAAGACAATGCAAGGTTCAAATTGACTTCTCACATTTAATGAACTGTGCAACAGGTTTTGTACAGCAGGGTTGGTCTTACAAGCATTATCTAATCCTAACAAAATAATTTATCTTATCTTAACATCCTAACCTATAGCAAGCTTGCAGGTGTATCTTCATGTTCGGGTCTTGCTCAAGGATAAGTTTTACTATAACTACACACTTCAAACTAATGTGCATGCACACTACGAATTAAAGATATTTACTACTAAGTTCTAAATTACACATTACTATGCAGTTATGATCAAAGAGAGAAAAACAGGAAATAAGGCAGACAGACAGAAGAATACAGAATATAACACCTGTGACTTGATACATGATGTTCTACAGCTCTTAATACCTATTACTTGTTACATGATATTATACAGCTCTTTATTGTCTAGGGGTATATTCACTAAGCATTGGATAAAGATAAAGTATACTATTGCAAATAGCTGACACGTTAACCAATTTTAAACAGACTGGCTAGCCAGTCATCTGTATCTTAAGCCTTGGGTAAATATAGGCAAAGTGTATTATTCCCAACATAGTGCGATGATCACGCTTACGTTTTCATGAAATATCTAATGTTTTCATATCTCGTCCAAGGCATTGAACTATTTCACTCTTTTCGGCAGCAGAGAGATCCTTTTTCTTCCCCATATTGCATGAAAATGGTGCTCTGCTTAATAATGTGGAACACCCTCCTTTAGTAGTTTTTCCTTAAATTGGGCTCACCTGGCAATCTAATTATCACAGGTGTTCGAGATTGTTTTCAGTGATCAAAAGAGCCCTGAGACACAATACCATCCATAACTTAAACCGAAAAACAAAATATTTAATCTTTGTGACACTTAACCCCTTAAGGACTGGACTGTTTTTGCGATGTTGTACATTTGCGACCAGGCATATTTTTACACTTTTGTGGTGTTTGTGTTTGGCTGTAATTTTCCGCTTTCTCATTTACTGTTCCCATACAAATTATATATTGTTTTTTCAGGACAAAAGGGGCTTTCTTTACATACCATTATTTATATAATCTCATGTATTTTAATTTAAAAAAAATACAAAAATCTCATGAAAAATTGAAAAAAATACATGTTTTTTGACTTTTACTTGAAAAATCTTTTACTCATCTACAAAAGCGAATGAAAAAAACTGCTAAATAGATTCAAAATTTTGTCCTGAGTTTAAAAATACCTAGTGTTTACGTGCTTTTTTGCTTTTTTTGCATGTTATAGGGCTATAGGTACAAGTAGGATATTGCAGTTTCAAAACATACATTTTTAAAATTTATCAATAGTGACATTGTAACACTATTATCTGTCATAAATCTCTGAATAACACCCCACATGTACATATTTTTTTTAAAGTAGACAACCCAGGGTATTCAATATGGGGTATGTCCAGTCTTTTTTAGTAGCCACTTAGTCGAAAACACTGGCCAAAGTAAGCATTCATATTTGTTTGTGTGTGAAAAAAGTAAAAAAACTAAATTGAACGCTAATTTTGGCCAGTGTTTGTGACCAAGTGGTTACTAAAAAGACTGGACATACCCCATTTGCAATACCTTGGGTTGTCTTCTTTTGCAAATGGTATGCCATCATGGGGGTAATTCTCATTCCTGGGCTACCATACGCTCTCAAAGGCAACGTAACCAACCTGGCCATTTTCAATGTAAAAATATTTGACCCATATATTTGACCTTGTAACTTTCAAAAATGCTATAAAACCTGTACATGGGGGGTACTGTTTTACTCGGGAGACATCGCTGAACACAAATATTAGTGTTTAAAAACTGGAAAACGTATCACAACAATTATATCATCAGTAAAAGTGCTGTTTGTGTGTGAAAAATGCAAAAAAAGTAACTTTCACTGACAATATCATCGCTGTGATATGTTTTACTGTTTTGAATCACTAATATTTGTGTTCAGCGAAGTCTCCCGAGTAAAACAGTACCCCCCATGTACAGGTTTTAGGGTGTCGTAGAACGTTACAGGGTAAAATACAGTGCTAGCAAATTAAATTCTCTGGAATTTCGGCCTGGGTTGGCAGGCAGGTCCCTCAAATTGCAATCAATAAAATTACTGAATTATGTAAAAATATTACATAAATACGCACGTAGAATTTAAATATATATGCATATTTATATATTTGAAGTCTACGTGTATATTTATATATTTATTTATGTAATTTTGTATATGGACGTATGTATATTTCTTATTATTTTTATTTATTTTTATATACATAGATATATATACAAATTCATTCTAAGTGTATTTTGATATAAATATATATATATTAATTTTAAAATACAGTTAGAATAAAATTTCATATAGCTATATAATGTTTTTTAAAAATGTTATTATTTAAAAAAAAAAATTATTTAATTTAAATTACTTATTATTTATATTTTATAATAATATATATATACAATATATATAGTTATTATATATATGGTGAAGTAGTGATCAGCACTCTCGGACTTTTGTTGAGTTTAAAACTTACAGTTTATTGAAATTCCATTTAAAAGATCAACGTTTCAGTTCCTATCTGGAACTTTCATCAGGATCAAACATATAAAACAATGCAAAACATTACATTTATATACCTCAAGTATTAGTGAAGTTAAATCAATAATGACTTACCCCTGTGCTCAGAGTGATGGGTGTGTTCCCCTGGCGTCCACCATACCTCCGTGCGCATGCGCGGACGTGGCCCCGCCCCTACGTGTGTGTGATGACGTCACGCGTTGCCGCGGCAACGCTAGAGTCACATGGGAAGAAGCAGGAAGTGACTAATAGTGAATAGCATGTGTCTCCGGTTGCTATGGCAACCCAGCAATGTAACTACAAAGTAATACATTCAATTAACATTCACAAGTACTAGTCCAATCATCCTGGTACTAGAACATAATGAAAAAAAATGAAAGGTTTATGAAAATATGCAATGATACTGATGTGTATAAAAAGTGCTAAGGAAGCTATATATATTTATATAGATATTAGTTAGAACCCTAATTCTGGCAAGTGAATAATAGCCTTAAAGTGCCAATGTGTAATGAAGTACTATTATACTGGAAATAAAGTGCTTATGAAAAGGTGCTATAATGATAATAAAGTGCTAACAGTGATGTGATATTACTTATAATAAAAAGTGCTTTCCAGTGCAAATAGCAATTCTATATCAATGGATAAAAAATGTATCAAAATATTGAGGGCTTAAAGGTATAGATTTGCACATAAAAAACATCATAAAAAGTATCATAAAAATTATTATCATAAAAACAAAATTCCTATTGCTTTTAGGGGTCATAACTACAGAAATGAATGATAAGAAAGCATCTCATTGAGTCCTTTAGGTTCAATCGTGTTCAATTGGAAAATCCATTCTGTCTCTCTATTAAGGAGCATTTTGCCGCGGTCCCCTCCTCGCCTGGGTATTGGGATATGATCTATTGCGATAAACTTCAAAGAGGAAAGAGGATGTTTCATTTCAAGAAAATGTTGCGCCACAGGTTGTTCTGAATGTCCATCCCTGAAAGCCACCCGTATTGCTGATCTGTGTCCCCGTATTCTCTCACATAGTGGGGTTTCAGTTTTGCCAATGTAGGCTAATCCGCATGGACACATTAATTTGTAGATCACAAAAGGTGTTTTACATGTAATTGTATGTTTTATCTTAAACACCTTATTATTATGTGGATGTTGAAAGGATTTAGCCGGGGTCATATGGCTGCAAGTGACGCATCCCAAGCATCGAACACTGCCTCGGTATTGGATATCAGTTCCCTGATTGTAACTGTTTATAGGATCTGTATGTACCAACATATCCTTTAGTGTTTTGTTTCTCTTGAAAGCATCTTCCAATTTTGTTTCAAAATTATCAAACAAAATTGGAAGATGCTTGCAACGGACGACACTTTGCCTAAAGTTTTTAAAGAACATCCATTGATTAGTTTCAAGAGAAACAAAACACTAAAGGATATGTTGGTACATCCTAACTTCACTAATACTTGAGGTATATAAATGTAATGTTTTGCATTGTTTTATATGTTTGATCCTGATGAAAGTTCCAGATAGGAACTGAAACGTTGATCTTTTAAATGGAATTTCAATAAACTGTAAGTTTTAAACTCAACAAAAGTCCGAGAGTGCTGATCACTACTTCACCATATGCAATTTTTCCCTGGATTACAAGCACCCGGCTTACAACTGTCTACAAGCGTGAGTGCAAGGAAACCCTGTATGTTAGTTATTATATATATTATATATATACGTGTAATTTAATTATAAGTGTATTTTTATATTAATATAAGTACATATTAATATAAAAATACACTTAGTATGACATTATATATATATGATATATAGACATATATTATATAGATATAATATATGTCTATATATCATATATACACATATATAATTATTTATTTATTTTTTATTAACATTAACTTTTATTTTTAGATTTTACACATGCAGGGAGACTGCCTGTCATCACAGACAGTCCCCCTGCAGGCAGACTCATGGACACCTATTGTGGCCATGTGATCGCTGTGTTAAGCGATCACATGGCCACAGGGGTCCTAATCTGCCGTGGAGAGACTGTCTGGGCTGCAGGCAGTCTCCCCACAACCGGAGCCACGCTGATCGCCGCCGGGGGAACGACGGCAATCAGGTAAGTAGCTCTGACCGTTAGGACGGTTCAGGACCGTCATCGGTCGGCAACGCAAAAATGCCGATGACGGTCCTGAACCGTCCTCGGTCCTTAAGGGGTTAAATAGAATTTGCATAATAATTTGGAACAGAGTGTAAACATGAGGCACTCTTGACGGCTATAAAAGGCTATTAATCTGAGAAAAAATCTACAAAGATCTCTTTTACACCCTATCCGCTAAAATATCTAGTTGAAATGAAATAATAATAAGCAGAAACATTTTCTACCCTACAGGCCTAATGTTTGCATTTAATACAAGGCATTGTTGTAAGTAGCTTTGTGGTTAAAATTTATATTTCAGTTGTTTGCATGCGTGCAGTTCCCTGACATCAGAAAAAAAATTTTGGGCCTACAATGGTCGCCCAGATGCCTAATATTTGCTTGCCAAGGAGGAGGGTTCTGTATTTATCCACAGCCCTTTCTATGGAAATAACAGCTGGTGTGGCTACTGCCTCACTCCACTTTTGCAATCCCTGACACTTAATGTTAGAGGAATAAACACAAGACATAACATGAGGCTAAAATATACTTATACTGGTGGAGCGCCTATGAAGAGAGACCTTGGTAGTCTTGAGATCACTCAGGCTCAGAATCAGATAAAATAAACAAAAAAGGAATAATAGTGAAGTACAGTTTGGAGATCAAATAGATAAAATTGCATGTACATTTATTATATATTGACAATAATTACTACTTAAAACTGCAAAGAACACAGAAAGTATGCAGTTGGTGAACAAAAATTAATAAAATAAAATAAAGTGTTGATCACAGTAAAAAACAACAATATAATAAGCCTCACGAGAAGAAGGTAGTGAGTAAATGCAGTATGAACCTACTACTCACACACGCCTTTTTTTCTCAGTGGAAAACTTTATGCTGTATCCAGCCGGCTGCAGTGCTCGAATCCTCCACGGATTGATGTCAAACAAGCTTCTCTGCGATGTGCCGTGTTCCCCACAAGCTTCTTACTCGACCGTTTGGTACAGAGGCAAAGACAAGTTTTGCGGGTTCTGAAGAATCTCCGCCCACTTGGAGTTACATCACCACGTAGATTGTGCTGCTATGTCACTGTGATTCTGAGCCTGAGTGATCTCAAGACTACCAAGGTCTCTCTTCATAGGCGCTCCACCAGTATAAGTATATTTTTGTATCTGTATTTATGTGTTTACATTTTGGGTAAAACACAGGTGTGTAGCAGCCTAGTATATAATCTTGGTACCACTGACTCTAGGTGTATATAATTTTAAGGTGGTGGGGAAAAGTTTTTTCACCTTTTTTTCTCCCCTTATCCGCCCTTTAGCGCTTTTATATTAACAATTTTTTTTTTTTATAAAATGAGGCTAGTCTTTGAGGAAATTCAGAAATCTAACACCGCTATAGCGTGTCTCCAAAAAATTCATTTCTGTGTGAGAACTCCCCCATGCTTTATTTTAACATCATACCCAATGACTTCAAATGTGTATTAGATCCTACCTTAGGTGTCTGTAACCAATAATCTCATCGTGCAATATATAGGCAAGAAGGGAAACTCTTGCACTTATTGCAAATATTCACTTTGTGTGATACGTGGTGCTCACTTTATACTGTCTCTAGAGATAACTCATTTCTACCAGGTACATTTCACTTACATGCTCATCGATAAATATGCTTAAGTGATTGGGCTAACTGGCAATTTCAAGAGAAGCGACTATAGAAGTTATCTCTTGGTCAGATCATGTTCCAGTGAGGTGAATATTCACTACACTCTATCCGGCCAGATCACGTTCCCGTGAGGTGTGTATTCACAACACTCAATCAGGCCCGAGGATGAGGAAGCTAGCATCTTAATAATGCACTATTTGCTAGGTTAGCCAATTTGGACATGACAGGGAATATTAAGACACAATTGTTTTCTGAAAATCCCTATACATCAGATAACATATTCAACAAATGGCTGGCCCATATGACAGTGTTTAGGGGACACTTGACTAATCTTGAACAATGTAAAAAAAAAATAAAAAAAAATTGATGAGGCCTGATTGTGCCTCCTGTCTATGTGTTATGTACAGCTGATGGCTTTCTCCAGACCCACTAAGCTTCCCTATAGGGTCCAATGGGAGAGATAGCTGATAGTCCAATACTCACTGGAGCAGTGGGAAAAAGCTACTTCTCAAATACAGTGGACCACATACTGCTTGAACCATATTGAGGCTCTCAGAAAACTGCTGATGAGATGGTGTTTGACTACCGTGCGCTTAACACACAGCTACTGGAATGTTTCTCCCCAATGCTGGAGATGTCAACAGGGCACAGGATCCCTTAGCCATATCTTCTGGATATGTTTAAAGCTGAATACCTTTGGGTCCCTGATCCAAAGAATACTACATATGCTATTTGACCATAATATCTCCATAAGAACTGAAATATATCTAGCTGTTATGCTACCAAATTACCTTAGGAAAACAGAAAACCCCCCAAAAACAATGCCATGTGCTGGTGGTAGCTAAAAGTAGTATTTATTAAATATATATATATATATATATATATATATATATATGGTTTGTACTGATTGCAACTATGTAATACAAATTTATACACTAAAAAAAAAGCTTCTTTATTGCAATTTTTATTAACTATATATATATATATATATATATATATATGTATATATATATATATATCTATATATATATATATATCTATATATATATATATATATCTATATATATATATATATACATAGTATCAACATCCCTTATGTGATGGTGAGTGTAACTAACTGTCAGGTATGATATTCTGTAACAGAAAAAATATTATTTCAAACTCAAACCTCTGCTATAACACACAATAATACACACAGTGTCTGTCATTTATAATATCAGAGTTATGGAGGGTTTTTCAGTAATCTGACAGCAGATGTTTATTTTAGATTTTATGTATGTGTTTCACGGCATCTTTAATTTGCTCCCTCCATAACAAATTTTATTGTTTTATTTTCCTGACATAAATAACAGCTATAGTATGAGAATCCAAGGTCAAGGCCATGTTATAAAATCTGCAATCACACATTTTCATCCTTTAACTCTTATAAGGTTTTACTATTCCTTTAATGAAAGACAAAACATAACACCCTCAAGATAACGTTTTATATATATATATATATATATATATATATCTCAATCGATAGATAGACACATACAGACATACACACAGATAGACAGACAGACAGACAGATATAAAATACAAAAATAAAAAATTATATATATATCAACCGATAGATAGACACACGCACACACACACACAGATAGACACAGACAGACAGATATAATATACAAAAATAAAAAACACATATTTTATATATATATATATATATATATATATATTTATATATATACATACTCATAAAATCTCTATATATAGCAGTAAAGAATTGTGAAAACTCCTTTATCTTTCAGTTTCAATTAACATCACCAGAGGGCAGCAAATCCCTTCAAAGCAGACCACATTTTCTGAGGTATCCTATCTAAAGCAAAAACAATTAATTTAACTTTTTTGATTAGTATTAATTTTTATTTGGATATGCTCTGTCTTTGGAATACCATGGGTGTGTTAAGAAAAAAAAAAATTATAATATCGCAATTTATCAAATTATACTGTATTTTGGAGATATTTTGTCTACTTTTTGAATTGAATTTATTTAATTAACCAATGCAACTGTTGGCTACATCAGTCCTCTTTGTTGTGGAAGAAATGACTTCACTTCTCCCTATAATAATTTTTAAAATTGAAAGCATGCCCAGACTTTAGCATATACCACATACATAAGGTTATACACTAAACTCTGAATTGTAGTGATTTGAAATACAAATTGCAAAATTTAGGGTAAAAAATGGTGACTTTAAAAAAAATAAATTGTAAAATTTGAAGTACGGCGAATAAACCTCTTATGGTTATTTTAATTTCAGTTAAATTCAGCAAGCTTTAGCACTGGTATTTGCCTGCTGGAGAGAGTACTAACAGATTTAATCATCATCAAAAAGTACCAAATTGGAAAAAAAATCTAATTTGGCAAAAGTCTCCAAATCCCCAACTTAGCCCCAACTTGGCTATTTTTTCTGCGATAGAATCTGAAGTTTAGTGAATTGTCCATGATCAAACTATGCAGCGCTGTAGCTAGCTCAAGGCTGATGTATTTGCCTTAGGGGGCACTTTTAAGGCTTTTTTTGCCGCTGTAACGAGAATATACCCCTACACGCAGGATGCAGCTAAACAGAGGCAAATACAGAGGAGAGATACGTCTACCGGACCTTAGAATGGCCGGACTCGACGTATATGAGAGGAGACAGAGCCAGGAACAAACCGGGGTCAAGGGCACAGAGAGACAGCGAAAACTAGGACAAGCCGGGGTCTGGTACACAGAAAACAGCAAGCCGGCAAACAGTACAGATAAGGATAAAGCGAAAACGAAGTCAGAATACGAAGCCAAAGTCAATACGAGAAAACACAACTGAACACCACAAGCGCTAAAGGGAACTGAAACAGAAACCACGATAGGGCAACGAGCTAAGGAAAAAAGGTAAGTTTAAATAGCTTTAAAACGAAAGTGATTGGCTCCTGTCACTTCCACACCCCCTATAGGTAATTGTACAGGGAGTGTGGTATGACAGGAGCCGATGGGAGCCTTTTGGCAATTAGGCTCCCACTGTCTCTTTAAGAGCGCGCCCGAGACTCGCGGCGCGCTCTTAGTTTCAGGCGGGACACGTGACCGCCTCACGCGGGACACGTGACCGCCTCACGCGGTCACTGCCCGCCCTCCATCTAAAGCAGTCGGATGAGCCGCGCGCGGCTCGTGCAGCCGCAGGACCGCGCGCGGCTTGAAGAGAGGACCGCGACCGGCCCCCGGTTAAGGTAAGTAACGCTACAGTACCCCCCCCTGAGGACATGCCCCCCGGGCGGGTAGGACCAGGCCTGGCAGGAAAACGAGAATGGAAAGAGCGCACAAGACGGGGAGCATGGACAGCATCAGCCGAA